CAAATATAACAACAGCTGGTCTAAAGATTAACTCAAAGACCTTTCAAAGACTGAGAAATCCTTGTACAAAAGAAACATACAAATAAACAGGTAACTAACCTATCTACACTCAAGGATACATTGTGAGTAACACGACTGGGTCGCTGTATTTGGACACAGTCTTGATGAGATGCACAAACTGTTGCAGAGAGTAAGTATCCTGCAAATTAGACATCGCTCCAATTCAACCATCTACACATGTAGATAGAAAAAAATTCCTCTGCATAGAACTGGCCTCCAATTGTGTATGAAAGTTAAACATATAGGCAGCTAAAATACTATCTTTTTTGTGTAAAGTTCAAAGTTTGCACGTGGAACGCCAGCCTAGTTGCCTCTTGCTTTTCTGAAAAAGCCCTTGGACATGACCTGACTGGTACAGGCACACCTTCCCCGCTGAAGAGAGCTAACGGGTCAGCTGAATCTATAGCGGTTCACGAGCTACTTGACTCAACCTCTTTGACTGCATAACGTTTCTGCTTTTGCATGTCTGCGCTCTCTCATCCACATGGCGTTCTATGACCACTGCTACCTGGCACATTCCAGACTTCGCGTACGGCTCACCCACCTGGAGTCTGCTTTCCGAAAAAGCCCTTGTTCCCCCACATGCGCTTCCGCACTTTTCTGTTTACTAACGGATGTCCTCTATGTATCAGCCCAGGGTTTCGCAGCAGGACCACGCAGAAAAGTTCAAGAGTAGCGCGACATCTTTTCATGGTTTTGTGAAACAATGTAACCAGGGTACAGCATCGTTGTGTGAACATAGGGGCGTACTTTTCCGCTGGGGAGGGGGGTCGTATTTGGTCGTTGGGAGAGGAGGGGGAGGGGTCGTATGTGCGTTTGAGAGAAATTTGCTGCGTTGGGGAAAAAATTTTTCCCGGTTGTTGACTTTTGCGTGATTTTGCATGTTTCATGTGTACTATTTATGCCCCCCCCACTGAACTGGGAAATGTGGGAAAGTGGTAGGTAGGTGTTGGGGAAGGGGGGGGGCTTACCGAGGCTCTCATTTAGGTGGGGGGCCGTACTGACATACTGACACCCTCTCTCGGGGGGAGGGGGGGGGGGGTCGTACCTACACTAACATTTCACACATCACGATGCTGTACCCTGAATGTAACGCAATCGGATAGAGGACAGTTGCTAGCAGTGATCATCGAAAGGGCAAGAAACCTGTGGCGAGTAATATGAGCTTTTTCAAGGGCAGCGGGCTCCTGGTTGGTGAGCCACTTATCATTTGGTGAAAAATGTGGAATGCTGGAATGTGCGACGTCGCAATGACTGTAGAATGCCTTGCAAGAGAGAGGGAGAGTGCAGAGAAGAACAGAAGAGTGGCGCATTCAGAGAGACTAAGTTCAAGCTGTCCATAAACCAAGTTCAAGCTTTCACGAAAATTCACGTAGGTGGGTAGGGGTGGTTTCAATCGAAAAAAAATCCAGTGAAAAAACACACAACATTTCCTCTTCGAAATGGACGGAAACCTGATTACCAAAAAAATGCTCGATCCCCAAATCAAACCGGACATGTTCGGATCAAACGGGGAACATTACAAGCAGATTTGTAAATAATCTTACATTGCTTTGGAAAGCGTCGAACTTCGCTTGAAAAGCGCTCGACTTCATTTGAATTGATTTTAAAAAGTCCACTTTGCAATGGAATTGATATATTTGGCTAACGCCAAATAACTACATGGTAAAATCTTGGACTCACCTATTTGTACAACATCACGAACGGCCCCTGTTTGATACAGACTGTCGCCATTATTGAACTCGTCAGCATTTCCGTTCGCGAGACAACTGGAATATGAACATAAAGCTAAGGTGACAGTAACTGACCTCTGTCCAACAAAGAGCACGTAACAGTTGACTATCGAGAAAAGGACTGCAGAATGGCCAGTTTGCCAAATTTATACCTAGAATTTCCTTCAGAGTGCACTCCGCTATTCTCCTACTCTCCCGACGCGCAGTATGAACACGGCCTCAGAAGCAGAACTTAATTTCTTCGTTATCATTAACCTTAAAGACACCCACGATTGAGTGTCATGGATAGTTGATGCTCAGTTATGAACCGGTAACTGAGAAGTAATAATTCCCCAATTCCCCAAGGAAAAAAAGGACGAAGAATCTCTATGAACACCATAAACAAAATCGCCTTCAGATAGTCAAACCGCCCTGTGGTCTCTG